TTGAGCTATAGGCGCCGAGCCTGAAAGTTTTTTTTAAAAGAAAACTTATTTTAACCTTTGTCATCCCATATTTCCTAAATCCAGGGCTGTTTTTAAGAACATGGCAGGATGATTTACTAATCTCACCACCAGCCTACGTTCACAGATATTTCTTTCTGCAAAGCCATGTGTACCAGATGTGACAAATGGAATTTCTTTCTTCTACCTGAAAACATGAGCATATTTACTCAGCTACTCCAAATTCCAGAAGGCCAGTGCACAATTAACATTAAATGGAAATTATGTTAATGGAACTCCCTGTGTGATAAACCTCTCCCTGAGGACTGCTCTACCTCGCATAGAAGTCAAAAAAGCGTGACTTCTGAGAAGGAGGAGAAACGAAGATTCTAAAGGATCCAGGCTGCCCTGTCCTGGATGGAGTAAGTACCTTGCAACTCAAGTACACCTGGGCCCTCCTACCTCCTAAAAGACCCCAGCAGTGGCTTCCATAACGGGGCTTCCATAACGGGGCTTCCATCCTTAACACTGCTGCTAATGTGCCAGACCTTACAGACCATCTCATTACTCAAAATGCCTTCAACAGCTCCAGAGCCCAGAGAATGCGATTTAAACCTTCTGAGATTTAAATACAAGCCTCTTCCTCATGGGACCTCAATTCATTTTCAGAATTCCCCCTTCTATCCCTTACTTTCACGCCCTGTTATGTTTTTCTCCCTATTCTACACCCATTTTTTTTTTACTTTTGTGTTCTTATTCGTGTTATTCCCACATTCTAACCATATACATATTTAAAAATCCAATCTATCCAACAGAAATAGCTGTTTCCTTGTCAGGAAATACGACTCATGTTTTCTGAATACTTCCTGCAGCTTTATCAGACCTCCCAGGACACTCTGTATTTTAGTAACATAAATTTCTTACTTTTCCTCTAAGACTATGAGTTCTTTTTTTTTTTTTTTGAGACAGTCTCAAGCTGTCCCCCCGGGGAGAGGGCTGTGGCATCACAGCTCACAGCAACCTCCAACTCCTGGGCTCAAGCAAGTCTCCTGCTTCAGCCTCCCAAGTAGCTGGGACCACAGGAGCCTGCCACAAAACCTGGCTTATTTTTTTTGTTTGTTTTGGTTATAGCTGACAGTGTTGTTTGTTGGG